CTGCTTGGCCTGCTGTGTTCATCCAGCTCTACACCTTGTTATCTCAGTAATGCTGGAGGGTTGCTTTTCGGACTGGGGGCCAGTGACCAGCGATGTTCCACAGGGATCGGTGCTGGGTTCTCTTCTGTTTGTGATTCATATAAATGATTTGGATGAGAACATAAAAGGCATGGTTTGTAAGTTTGTGGATGACACCAAAATTGGTGGCATTGTAGACAGGGAGTAAGGTTTTCTAAGATTACAAAGGGATCTTGATCAATGGGTCAATGGGCTGAAAATGGCAAATGGAATTCAATCTGGATAAATGCGAGGTATTTCATTTTGGTACAACAAGCAAGGGTAGGGCTTACACAATTAATGGTAGGGCCTTGGGTAGTTTTGTAGAACAGAGGGACCTAAGGGTGCAGGTACATAATTCAGTAAAGCTTGCATCACATATAGACAGGGTGGTTAAAAAGGCATTTGGCATCCTTGCTTTCATTGCTCAGTCCTTTGAGTATAGGAGTTGGGACATTATGTTGAGGTTGGACAGGACATTGGTGAGGTCTCTTCTGGAATACTGTGTCCAATTCTGGTTGCCTAGCTATAAGAAGGATATTATTAAGCTGGAGAGGGTTCAGAAGAGATTTACCAGGACATTGCCGGGTATGGAAGGTTTGAATTACAAAGAAAGGCTGGATAGACTGGGACATTTTTCACTGGAGCACAGGAGGTTGAAAGGTAACCTGAAGGAAGTTTATAAAATAATGAGGGGTATAGATAGAGTTGATGATAGTTGTCTTTTTCCTAGAATGGGGAATTTCAAGACATGAGGGGCACATTTTTAAGGTGAGAGGAGAGAGATTTAAAAAAGACATAAGGGGAAAATATTTTACACAGAGGGTGGTTTGCGTGTGGAACGAGCTTCCTGAGGAAGTGGTAGATGCGGGTACAATTACAACGTTTAAAAGACATTTGGATAAGTACACGTATAGGAAAGATTTAGAGGGATATGGGCCAGGAGCAGGCAGGTGGGACTAATTTAGTTTGAGATTATGTTTGGCATGGACTGGTTGGACTGAAGGGTCCATCTCCGTGCTGTAAGACTCTATCATTCTACGTATGTCAGGATATTACATTCCTCCCCGAGAAATGAAACAAGTGAACTCAAACGATAGTTGCAAGAAAGTAACCACAGTGCTGCTGCATGAACTGCGGTGAGTGGGAGTGCTTTAGAAGATTATTTAAAAAAAAAACATTTTATTGCTTAAAGTGCGGCAGGAGGAAAGGGTTGTAGGAGTTAAAATATTTCCCAAATGTCAGCTATTTGATATTTAACACGGCTACACTTCTAAGGTTCATTTCTGTGCCAGATTTTTCGAAAAATCTTGCACATGGGAACTGCTACATTGGAATTGTCATAAAGTACACTGATGGCTCAGCTGTTAGTCAGCAAATATCTGACTGGCTACAAACTATAGCCAGAAAGTATCACAACAGAATAGTCTTGTGACAGAAACAAAAAAACGAGCAATTAAATCGGTCAATTTTGAAATTGCAAATCCTGAAATGGCAAGTACCATTCTCTAAGTAGTTGCTTCTAAAGATACCTCCCTCAATGGTCCCAGACTTGGAAAGCCAATAGATGTGTAAGGTGCATCCTAAAAAATATACATTTAAAATGATCAAGGTGTGAAACGTGCTGTAAATAATTATAAGCAAGCCTTGTAAGTTCTATTAGCATAGGTTAACATTTATGGTTCTTTCTCATTGGCTCCACTCCCAGGTCGGGTCAATCCCCTCATCTTCTCTTAGAATCTATGCCTAATGAAACAAAACAGGATGCATGTTCCTCGACCACTCATTTTTTACATTTTGTCACAAAGACATTCTCAGACCTGGAGGGGAATGTTCTCCTGGCAAGCTTAGCTTGAGTTCCAATCATCTTGGGCTCACGCCACACATTCCTAAACGCTCCCACTCACTTCCTGTGTTGCTAATCCCACTCTACTTGGCAGCCCAGCTTGCTCCTCACTCTTCCCGACGAAACAGCCACATGGAATGGGACAGTGCACTCCAACAGCAGAATGATCTGATGGATCTCTCCGTGGATAGCGATATTGTGAAGAGGCAGGGTTTCCAGATCCATGAGGCCTGGCCTTTGCACGTGCCTGGAAAATGCTGTTCCTGCTGAATTCATTCATCTCACAAATCATTAGCTTTGACAAAGATTCCACGCGTCTACAATACGAAGAAACTTAGATACATCGCCCATGCTTTGGGAAACATTTGGCTGTTCGGTTAAATTTGATCCTTTTGAGTGTAAACTGAAGCCTAACTCTCGCTCTGAAATAAACCAAAGATCTGCAAATGCTGAAGATCAGAAACAAATAGATCGATTGCTGGAGAAACTCAGCGCATCTGGCAGCATCTGTGGAGAGAGAAACAGAGTTAATGTTTTGAGTTTAGTGACCCTTCTCTCTCTACAGATGCTGCCAGAGCCACAGAGTTTCTCCAGTACATTTTGTTTGGATGAAAGCAGGCACCTCATTGTGTGGCCGTCAGAAGGTGGCCAGCTGTTTTGAGCGAATGCCATCCCTGGTAATATGGGCCAAAACTCTTTCTGCAATGTTTTGACGTTACCATGAAAAAGACAGTCCTCATTGACAGTGGCATACAAAGGTTGAGGTAAGTGGGCCAAGGAAGATTGCACGCCTGTGATACATTTCCATCTCACTGCTCCACTTGGGCAGTGCTCCAAGTCGAGACATTCAAGTGGAAAATCTGCTCCATTATATTTTTGAATACCTTACATCAGAATAAGGTGACGTCCACAAATTAATTAAATTATTTGCACATTTTTCAAAACCATCGCCATCTCAAATTTCAATTAATACATTTCACAAAATACATAAGGTGCAGATTTTGGGTTCATCAAAATGCCATCTATTCTTCCATCATTTTCTGCGCTGCTTCAAAATGATCAAATTACAAACACACTTTGCACCTTGCTCGAGATTTTGCATTTTATACAAAGCTTCAACCCCAACACACGCCACTCCAATCCTGCTTTAGAATTTAAAAGAGGTTCAGTATAAACTCTCATTTTAACCTCAGAGTCAGGGATGGACAGTGGGTTGCCAGGAAATTGCAGGTCATTCCCTGGGATGTCGCTGTGGAATTCTTTCCCACAAAGGGCTGTCGAGGCTGGGTTGTTCAGTATATTCACTTCACCTGATGAAGGAGCAGTGCTCCGAAAGCTTGTGATTTCAAATAAGCCTGTTGGACCATAACCTGGTGATGTGTGAGTTCTGACACTGATTTTTAATCAGCGAGGGGATTGAGGGTTATGGGGAAAAGGCAGGAAAGTGGAAAGGAGGATTATCAGATCAGCCACAATCTCATTGGATGGAAGAGCAGACTCCATGGGCTGAGTGGCCCACTTCTGCTTCTGTGTCTCATGGTCTAAACCTGAGGAAAAATGTCATTGCAGCGTTGCAACAAGTTTTTGCAACAACTACCTGTTTTTTCTTTTGAAATTATAAAAACATTGGAAACTGAGCGTCAAGGATCACCCAGTCAGGGAACGATGGGCTGAATATCCCCAATCCATCAGAGCTTGGTTTGGACAGAAGACCAGGAGAAGAGTTGGGAAGTAGTCCCTTTGGTAGACTTCCCAAAGTGTTCCTGCCTCTGAGAGTTCTTGCCAGAGGTGGGATCAACGCAGCAGAGGACAATCCCTGGTCAGTGGCGGACAATTGATTAGACCCAACAATGGGCCATTCGGGGGAATAATGATAATGTCTTCGGATCTTCCCATCAGCCAACAGGCTCCTTGCTGAGGTCAGACACCGCCAATGGGACAGGGACAGGGAGGGCAATTTTTTTTTAATACCTGCTTTCAATGACCCTAGCTAGGGTCTGCTGGGATACAACAGCCACACAGCTTTGGCCACAGATCTTGCTGTGTACGTGTGGGGCTGGGGGGATGTTCCCTTCCTCCCTGATGGCCCGAAAACTGTTGTCATGCACGACTCTCAATTGTTCACCATGGTGCAGAGCCCCTTCTGCCCTGTGTTCACGCGAAGACCCCCTCGTTTCTGCCTGCCTGCCTGCCTCCCTCCGGGTGAGGGTGCCAGGTTGGGGGGGGTTCACTTCAGGTTATCTGATTCGGTGGGTAACTTGCCATCGTTGACTGGATGGAGCTTCCCGAGGAGATTTCCTGACTCTGGGAAGCGCGTGAGGGCATCCTTCCACTTCCAGGACACAGGCTGGAGTCGGCATCGTGGCACAACAAGGAAATTTCAGCCCAAAGAGCCCTCTCCCAGTTGGTGTGGGAAGGCGATACACCATGGGCATTGCTACATCAAGAGACCAATGGCAGAAGCAAATGCGATCACACCTCCAGAAACTGGCAACAGAGTTAGCAACCCAAAATGTCTGTGCACTGACAAGTTTCATTGAAAAAAGAAGCTGTTTTGCACTGGCAGTTTTTAAACCACATCACCTCTTTTTTTTGAGGTTGAATTACAAGATTTTTTTCTGAAACAAACAGTTTAAAATGCCTTGATTGTTCAAAACAACACCTGACAGTTAGCTAATCTCTTTCTGATCTTTGAAAAACAACATACGATGACAAGCCAGCTTCTTGCAAACTGGGGCAGGCACACAGCTGAATGGTTCCCCCTTCCCTTTCACTCATGCAAGGGCCAAACTCCCCCTTGCAACTCTCAACCACAAAAGTAAGAAATTTTACTACCGAGAAATCATGCTTCTAAGAAGAAATACTTGCTTCAGGAGGATTGAACACAAAACCTCTACACTTCCTGTGCTTTTATCTGAAATTTGCAAAAAAGCTTGCAACACTAATGTGGATTTGTGGTTGAGGTCATATGACCAGCAATCTATATATATTAATCAGTTAATGCAGTAAATAATTTGGGAAGTTCACAACAAGGATGGGCAGCAGTTGCAGGGATTGGGGGGTGTTGTGCTGGTGAGAATGAGAAGATAGTACCAACCTTCATTCCTTCATCTGCGTTTACTTTGCTCCCTGAAATTAAAGTGATCGTAAACGGTTTCTCCAAATTCCACAGACTGGTTCCAAATTGCTGCAGGAAGCAAGAAAGTACGTCAATTTCTGCACGAGGTGCCAACTGCTACATTTCTGAGGAGCAGAATGAGGAAGGCAGACTGCAAATGATCAAGACAGATAGCGTTACTTATTTAGTGTGTTATGAAACACTTATTCAGAAACGGCATACTTTCTCTGGGATGACTAACAATAAAGAGATGCAATAACTCTACATGTTGTCTCTCTCAGATTAATCTATTCATTAATTGGGTGTTTAATTATATTCAGGTGGTGGGCATTACTTAGGTCTGATCAATGTTTCTATGGACAGACTGTAATGAATTGTTTGGTTGGCGGTGCAGGATATACAAAGTGTATCTTCATTTGTTAAAGATTCTAAGTCAACAGAGGCGACAGTATCACTGCAGACTGTGACCGCTGGAAAACTGAGACAGAAATGAGAAAATGTTCAACAGGTTTGGCAGAATCTATGCAGAGGCAGACAGAGTGGATGTTTCAGGTTGACGAACTTCCCTATCTGAAAGATAGGGGTTGCTAGATTCTATGGGCCAAAGAAGGTACCAAATAAAGCCTCAGCAACACTCCCCCTAACCCACTCCTCCAAAGGGCTCTACCCCCCAACATACAACCTGGGAAATTTTAATTGCATTTTGACGTTACCCACTAAATGCCGCAAGTCTCCTGCCCACCTCAGCAGTGATGACAAAATGTTGAAACCATATAAACTGTTGAAGAGTATACACTTTGGCAGGAATGGTGCAAGGGTGTGAAAATATTTTCCATCCTTTCGCCCATTGTATCGCAATGGCATTTAAGTTTGCAAAACAACTTTTATTTAAAACACAAGGTGCAACTCTTAGTAGTTCAGATCAAAATCAATCTTTCTCTACCAATCTTAGACATAGAATCGTACAGCACGGAAACAAACCCTTCAGTGCAAATAGTCCATGTCGAACATAATCTCAAACTAAACTAGTCCCACCTGCCTGCTCCCAGCTAATATGCCTCCACCTTTCCTATTCATGTACTTATCCAAATGTCTTTTAAATATTGTAATTGTACCTGCTTCCACCACTTCCTCAGGAAGTTCGTTCCACACATGAACCACCCTCTGTGTAAAAAATTTGGCCCTCGTGTCTTTTCTAAATGTCTGTCCTCTCACCTTAAAATGTGCCCCCTAGTCTTGAAATCACCCATTCTAGGGAAAAGACAACTACCATTAACTCTATCTATACCTCTCACTATTTTATAAACTTCTATCAGGTCACCTCTCAACCTCCTACGTTCCAGTGAAAAAATTCCCAGCCTATCCAGCCTTTCTTCAAAACTCTGACCTTCCATACCTGGTAACATCTGGTAAATCTCTTCTGAATCCTCTCCAGCTTAATAATATCCTTTCTATAACTGGATACAGAATTCCAGAAGAGGCCTCACCAATGTCCTGTACAACCTCAACATGACTTCCCAACTCCTATATTCAAAGGATTCTTTTGAAAAATAAAAGCATTTTGTTTTATCACTGAATCCACTCTTTGTGTTTGAGGGCTCCTATGACAAACTTAATAAATGTGTACAGAATGTTCAAAAGGAAACGGATGAACAGAACAGCACTAAATTGTAAAATGGAATATTTATACTGAATCAGGGTGCTTGTTAATCAGGGTTTGATGTTAGATTTTTGACACTTCGACGAATCACTCCCAATTTTAAAACATTTAAGAGTCAGTCTATTTTTTCTCTTGCTCTGCCAAATTTAAAGAAGGAATTTAAAGTCATAGTTCTCTCTCACGGTGAAATTGACTAGTGCAGAACAGATTGTTAATTACATATCACCTCCAGGCATCTGACTGTGATTTGATTTATTATTGTCACATGTACCTAAGCACAGTGAATAGTTTTGTTTTGTGTGTAGTACAGGCAGATAATACCGTACAAAGATCATAGAGTGGTAGAACAGAGTGAGGAATACAAAGTTACAGCTGCAGAGAAGGTGCACAAAGAGTGAGATCAATATTGGATTTGAAATTTGAAAGGTCTATTCAGAAGTCTAATAACAACGGGCAAGAAGCTGTTCTTAAGCCTGTTGGTAGATGTGTTTAAGCTTTTGTGTCTTCTGTCTGATGGAAGGGGTTGGAAGAGATTATTACTGGGGTGGGAGGGGTCTTTGATGATGTTGACAGACTTTCTGAGGCAGGGAGAAGTATAGATGGAGTCAATGGATGGAAAGTTGTCTTGTGTGATGGTCTGGGCTATGTTCACAACTCCCTGTAGTTCCATCATGGACATGTTTAATTTTGGGAATTATTTAACTCCTCTTCCCTTTTTTGGAAAGAATCCACACCCATAATAATAACATTGATTGTCAGATTTTGGCAAAGTCCAGCTTTCCATCTTCCCAGCCAGGAAAGGCAGATGAAAATGCAAAACTGAAAGTGTTCTTTCTGCCAATGGGGAAAGGGACATGCGGGGTAGGAATCACAGGGTAGGGAAGGCCAAATTCAGTAGGGTCATTTGGAGTTAGAGCAGAGTTCAAACTGGGCGCCAAATTTGCAATTTCAAGCTTCTTAAATGCAGAAGTCACAACCTCATGAGCAGACAGCGCACTTGAAATGTGGAAACAGTCTGTTTAAGTGTCACAATCTCAAGTTCTTTAAGTCCACATATCTTTGAAAAACAAACAACCTTAAGTTATTAAACTAAATAAAAATTGCCATATACTCTATGACTTTGAGTTACAGGCCATCTGATGTAGGATATATTATGACCAAATAGTTCCATATTTTTAAGTGAGTTCTTCCAGCACTTATCTCAGTAGGAGGTTCAAATTCAGGGTGTGATTAACACTTTTAAGAGGCTATTAAAGGATTATTTGTCTTTAAGGTAGTAACTAAATAGAAACTTGTTCTTATAACTGACTGAATACGTTGATGAGAGTTAACAGTTTTGCATGGGTTTCATGAACATGAGTTGTTTTTTCACTCTCAAGTGTGAATAAGTGAGAGCTACATTAGATTGTTAGAGGATTATAAATTTGTTCTTTATTGTTTCAAATCTCCTGAAGTTTGCCCACGGTAGATAGTGGGTGAGCAGCAATCGTGTTAAAAGCAAAGTACTGCAGACGCTGGAAAGAGCAGAACAGTTCTGAAGAAGAGTCACACCAGAACTAAAACGTTAACTCTGTTTCTCTCTCCACAGATGCAGCCAGACCTGCTGAGTTTCACCAGCATTCTCTGTGAGTGGTTATGGTAATGGCAAAGGCAATATGAGGGCTCATGAGGGTGGGAGGAGATATGAAGGGTCAGATCGGGTCTGAGGGACCATGGAGTGTTGACGAGGGCATGATGGGGTGTGAGGGCTAAATATTTTCTAAAACAAATGCAACACAGTCTGACAGAATGGTGGTGGTCACTCTGACCAGCCCACCTTGGTGCTCATCCAGCCTTGGGCTCAGTTTTTGGGGCTGATGAGGCTCGATGCAATTGGGTGCCCACATTAGGGGTGAAATTTGGGTTTAACAGGGCCCTTAAATCAAAGGTGAGTCAGCTGAGTTGCGATTTCCCCAACTTGGTGTTGAAAATATGTCCCTATTGTCTTTCCATGTAACATTGTGAAAGGAGCTCTATTTCCCAGAACTTTGTTGCTTAGCATGAGTTTTGTCATTTTGTATGCCTTTGATCCGTGGTGCTAATGCTGCAGTGCTTTTGTGTATCAATTGTGTTGCTCCTCATCAGTTGCAACTCGCTGGGTCATTTCCCCTGTGTTTCTCTCCTTTGCACTTGGCTGCTTTTCTCTTTTGTTACTGTCACAACACACAAAATGTTCCTGACATTGAAGATCTGAAATCCATTCACTTCACATGTGGTCTTCCTTCATGCTGTTAATACTTTGGAAGCTGGTGGGCCTCCCCTGGACCACCAGAACTAGGGGTGGCATAAGTAGAAGTGGCATCAGATAGTAATGTGGGTATTAGTAAACCTGGCAGGGCTCAGCTTAGCGAGGACAGCAACCCTCCTCATACAGGATTATATCACACATTCACCATCGCTTTCTTGAGGGTAAATGGAAGGGGCAATAAACATTGACCTTGCCAGTGATGTTCACATCCCACGAATGAATAAAAACAAAATGCTGTTCCCATTCTATCTGGAAGGTCACAGAGTACACAGCATGTGATGTCTTCCGCTTGGAGTTTTGTGAAACTACAAGCAGATCCAACAGCGGAGCTTTGTCATGTTTTCAGCTGGTTTTCAACCTGTGAATAATGGTGATATTGTAATGCTGAATTTTTTTAAAGAAGAAAGCACAAAGGAAGTGGCATTAAAGCAAATGTCTTTGAAAGGCCAAAAAAATCACGTTGGAATTCTTCTCCTTGTTGCTTCCTGAAGTTAGTTTGTGCCTGTAGCGCGCGTGCACACACACACATACTCACGCACATACACGTGCACACACACATGGACATGGACACACACACACACGGAAACACACACACACACGGACACATGCACAGACACACAGACACATGCATGCACAAACACACACATATACACACAACACGCACAGACGCTCACAGATACACGCAAAACATACACACAAACACACATGAGAAGTGCCGAGGACAAGGAAAAGAAAAAAAACATCTTTGGCAAGATTGTGTATTAAAACTATGAACCAAAAGACACCAGAAGTCTTACTGTTTTTGTCTCAGTGTTAAATATATTCATTTACTTCAGGGTGGTGTTCGTTTCTGCTCATCCCATTTGGCCCCTCCTCAAGTTTCTTCCTTCCCATGCCTCTCCCCTGACAGGGCTGACTTCTTGTAGGGGCCAACACTACAGGAACTGATCTACCTCCCCAGTCTGCACATTCTGTCAGAGTTCACATGCAAACCCCATCACTGAGGGATTCCATTTCTGGTAACACTGCAGTCAAATCCAGTTATGTTCATAAACAATATCCAGAAACGCAGATGTCAAACATAATTAGCACAGGCACCAACCATCCCCCCATCCTCCCCCTGAAGTTACCTTTCACTGGGGCCCTAAAGATAACTCTCGTTCACCCCCGTCCCTGGTTCAAACTGTTGTACGTTAACGCAGCATATGACCATGTGAATTAGGAAGCCATTTGGTCCCTCAAACTTGTCCTGCCACTTAATGAGATTGTGGCTAATCTGATGGCAATCACAACTCTACCTTTCTGTCCACCCACTGTAATCTTTGATTCCTTTGTCCATCAATTATCTGTCTAAGAAAAGCAAAGTGCTGTTGATCTGAAACACAAACAGAAAGCACTGGTGAAACTCAGCAGGTCTGGCAGCATCGTTGGAGAGAGAACGGGAGTTAAATTCTGATGGTCATACTGAACTTGCTTTCTCTCATCACAGATGCTGCCAGACCTGCTGATTCTTCCAGCACTTTTTAAAATGTAAATATCTGTCTAACGCAGCCTTGAACATGTTCAATGACCCAGCCTCCATACTTCTCTGGGGAAGAGAATTCCACATTCTAGTGATGGTCTTCATTATATGTGCGATCCATAATTTCTAAGCTGGGTCTAGTTCTAAGGCTCTCCCACAAGGCAAAATGTCCTTTCACCATTCGCTCTGGTAGTCTCCGCAGGGTCTATAATATTTCAATAATATCACCTCCAATTCTTCTAAACTCCAATGTCTTCAGGACCAACCTCTCCTCATTCATTAACTCATTCCCTCCAGAATCGAATGAGTGAAGTTTCTCTGAACTATTCTCATGTACGGACCAAGGGTAGAATGCATATTATTTCTTTAGCTTTAATGGGAAAGTGTTGACTCCTTTTTGTGACAAAGGGCCAGACAGGACACTGACAGAAAAGGAAGACAGTATCAGGTTTAATGTCGCGTCATCCATGAGAATGAAAGGATAGTGTACGCCAAATCTATCGCCAAAATACAGCCAATGTTCCTTTTACCTCTTCAAAGGCAGAACTAAGGGTGAGGCATCAAATGTAAATTATATTCACGGAAGCACCTGATCTCTTTTAGTTTATTATATTTAAGTAATCTTGCAGGCAGAATTTGCTTTTATTACTGTATTCCTGATTAGAATCTCAGACACTATTAACCACACACAGTATATTGAATGCACTTACCACTGTCTATTTATAACCGTGAACACTGCAGGATTTCTGATCTTCTGTATTAGTGCAGCGTAGCTTCATACTGTAAAGTCCCTAAAAGCACTGAACTCTACCTTAAGCTCCAGGTGACTCTGGCCACTACAGCCAGAGATTTCCTGCAGCTTTGGCTTGTTTAGCACAGTGAAACCTTTCTCCTCTTTGATAATGAGATAACAAGGTGTAGAGCTGGATGAACACAGCAGGCCAAGCAGCATCAGAGGAGCAGGAAGGCTGAAGTTTCGGGCCTAGACCCTTCTTCAGAAAAAAAAAATCTTTCTCCTATTCTCCTTTCTCCTCTTTACAAGGTTTTCCAAAACTTCACAACACTGCAATCAAATCTTTTATTCTCCTAGTTTGTTTTTCCCTGATAATCTGTTGTGACACTACCTAAGTACCAAATTTGTAGCATTTTACATGCCCTAATTTGCATAAGCAATTCCGGAAAATGGTCCAATGCAAAGTCTAAGCAAGCTCAACGACAAAGAGTCAAAAACAGGGTGACACTTGCCCCACTGGATTAACACTGTTTTGCTTCAGTGCAGAAAAGGACTGGAAGGTCTGTGCTATGGGGAGAGGCTGGGTAGGCTGGGACCTTTTTCCTTGGAGCATTGGCGGCTGAGGGGTGACCTTATAGAAGTTTATAAAATCATGAGGGGCATAGATAGGGTGAATAGCAAAGATCTTTTCCCCAGGGCAGGGCAGTTCAAAACTAGAGGGCATAAGTTTCAGGTAAGAGAGGGGAAGATTTAAAACGGACCTGAGCGGCAATATTTTCACACAGAGGATGGTGCGTGCATGGAATGAGCTGCCAGAGGAAGTGGTAGAGGCTGGTACAATTACAACATTTAAAAGGCATTTGGACAGGTAGAGGAAAAGGAAGGGTTCAGGGGTATATGGGCCAAACTCAGGCAAATAAGACTAATTCAGTTTAAAGAAGCTGGTTGGTCATGGACAATTTGGGCCAAAGGCCCTGTCTCCATGCTGTATGACTCTAAATCTTTGCTGAATTTGAATGAGTTATATCATTTAAACAGTCATGGAAATTATTAAACAGACATCCACCAGTTATAAAATATGGTGCCAGGATTCTTGGGCAAATAATTTCGAGGCAGCCT